GATATCTCATTGATTTTAATGTGAAGGTTCAAGAGCTTCCTGTCATTGAGGTCAGACAGTGTGAGCTGTGTCTCTCTCTGCTATTCTTTAGTTCCTTTGCTGTGATCAGATGAGTTTAGCTGTGTTAATTGCTTCATCAAAGAAGCCTGTGAATTAAAATAACTCTGCAGAGAACAAGTGCTATTGACCTCTGGAGGGAGACATATCATATGACACAAACTTCAGCCAGTCTCTGTCCTGTTTAACTGTACAGAGTTTTTCTTCTCTTTATTTAGAACAAGAGAAAGTCACAATTTTCGACCAGACAGAGGTGAACTTGGTTGCATTCCGTCGAACGATTTACCTCGCCATCCAATCAAGGTGAGTGTGTGCATCATGTGATCCAGTGGTTCTGTGTCGTCTTCCTTGCTTCCGTCAGCAGAATGGGAGCAGCTCTAAAAGCCACCAGAAATAGCCTGCGCAAAGATTGTATTGGATGAAATAGAAAAACAACCTACATTTGAGATCCCATGTGTAGGGACGAGGCTGTTTTTTCTTGTTTTTGAACCAAAGCCCCTGAGCGTCGCAGCACGCAGATTGAATTAAGAACGTTTCAGATTAGTTGTTTTTAATTGAATTTCACCGGCACAGAGCAGCAGAAGTGCCGTCACGGATCAGAAATCGCTGTGGTGAAGGACTTCAAAATTATTTATCCTTTGATATCAAGAGGGTTTTAAAAATGTTTAAACAACAATTCAGGGGCTGATTGACGAGATTAGGAGGAAGGCAGGATGAGTCTATTTCCCTTTGCATCACAGAACCTTTTCTCAGAATGACTGTCCTTCTCATGGGCATAGCGCTGGAGTTTTTCAGCTTTTTGATGATATTTAATATATATCTTAATATTGATATTTGGGTTGTTAAAGCGTAACATGTTCATGAGCTTTTTTTAATCACCAACATTTTCAACACCAATGTTTTCAAAGTTGTAGTAATTTTTTTTAAAAATTTTTTATCATTTTTATAATTTTTTTTAAATATGCTTATATATATATATTTTTTTTATTTTTATTTTTTTTTTTTTTTAATGTATATATATATATATATATATATATATATATATAATTGTTTTTTTTGGAGACCTGAGGCTGTTCCTTGACTGATCCATACATCAGACTTTTTCCTTTAAATTATTTGTTTTTTATTTGATTTTGTTTTTTATTTTAATTTAATTTATTTGTTAGAAATCAGTTTCTTGATTCATTATAATGAAATCATAATGAGTCTTTTGCTTGTATTTTATTTACAAGTCTTTACCTAATCATTTTATTTTACATTTCTTTTTATTTTAGAGACCTGTTTCTTGAGTCATCTGACTGATTCATACATCAAACCTTTTTTATATCATTTTGTTTATTTTTTATTTTATTATTTTGAAAACCTATTTCTTGATTCAGGTTGACTGATTCATACATCAGACCTTTTATTTTGTTATTTTATTTTTTTATTTCATTTTATTTATTAGAGACCCATTTCTAGTTATCTTGACTGATTCATTATACAGAAATTATCATAAGAGTAATTTGTGTGTGAATCACTTTACCCTGCTGAACACAATAGAAAGATGTTTTCTATTTATTGTCTATTTTCACATTCAGACTGCAAATTCGCAGCTCAGCTATAATATAATATCTTTATCCATGCTTCTACAGCACCGTAGCCATTGGCCCAAAATAGGCTTTGAAGCGAGAGAGTCTTGTTCTGACCTTAAACCTTAGACTGCTTAAGATAGAAAGCCTCATTTCTCCTTATAGCGGACATATTTTGTAATATCTTTTGGGAATTAGGATTGTATTATTATTCTGATCATGGTGTTCCCCTTGTTAACCTTCAACAGATGACGCCCTCTGGTGCTGTGATAGTTTTGCTTAATTTGAATGCAGTCTGGTTCATATTTAATACATATTACATTTGATTTATTATGTGCTGCAGTTGCATGTAATATATTAAAATTATATGCATATCATGGGATCTGGTTAAACTCAATGTGTTATATTTCATTAGCACATGAGATGCAGAAGGTGACGTTTTCATGTTTTATTTTCACAGCTTGGACTTCGAAGAATGCGCCCACAAGTTGATAAAAATGGATTTCCCCGAGAGCCAGACGGTACGTAAATAAACGCTGCTGTTCTCTCTAAAATCCTGTAGATCTGTGTTGCTTTCCGTGTCTCTGCACACAGCTGTTTATCGGAAGCTTTTAACTTCATCTAAATATTTATTTTCAGTCTCAGAGGTAATTTGTGCCATTGTGGTCACTTGGGAAGCATTTGTCATCTTAATATCCTTGTTTTGTAGTTTCACAGTGGGGAAAAATGGCTGTTTTGGCTAATGGCAACTGGGCGTTCCCTCCTGTTTAACTGATCAAATGTCTTTCGTCAGAAATGGCCTGTTTGTGATTGTCACCCTGCTGTTTTATGAAACACAAATTCAGTGCCAGCAGCTCATCAGTTTGATGGAAATTCCTGTATTTGTCAGCACCTGAGCTGTGCTTTGCAAATCTGCCATTACATCGCTGGAGTAGGGCTGGGTTGATATGTTGAATATTTACAATATATTTAGCAATTTTTCCCAACGATGTAAACTATAAAGAGCATTTATAGACTTTTAGATTCATTTAACAATCCCTTTTCTCTTCACTATAAGCGTTGATAACATAAGCAGATATAATAACAATAATAATTGTATTTTTGTATTTTAAACATTTAAAACAAGAAAAATGCTACATGTGAGTGAATTAAGCATATTTTTAAAAGAATAAGAGGCTGTTCACACAGAACTCGTTTTCCCATTGTTTTTCTATATAAACAAAATAGATGGATGTGTTCGAGTGTTGCAGTGTCACACGCATGATACGGCATTCTAAAAAGTAGTGCTTAAGTTAAAAAACGCATCAACAATAATGGTAAATAAACAAGGAAAATAAAACAAAGCATAGCAAAAAGTTAATAAAGCTAAGCAAAGCAAAAATTATTTATATGAAATATGTTGAAAATATGGACATTTTTTAGTAATAAAAATATATTCATATTTTTATTTGTAATTATTAGTTTTCGTTGTGTTTAGCTTTAGTGAAAATTTAGTAACTTTCTATTGTATTTTTATTCTTTTTTTATTTTATTTTATTTTAATAATTTTAAAAAATCAATTTTTTAGCCATTTCAGAACAAATACATAAATATTAAGCTGTATGTGACCCTGGACCACAAAACCAGTCTTAAGTGTCAATTTTTCGAATTATACATCTGAAAGCTGAATAAATAAGCTTTCCATTGATGTATGGTTTATTAGGATCGGACAATATTTGGCCGAGATACAACTTTTTGAAAATCTGGGTGCAAAAAAATCAAGTTGTCCAAATGAAGTCCTTAGGAGTGCATATTACTATTCAAAAATGAAGTTTTTATATATTTATGGTAGGAAATTTACAAAATATCTTCATGGAACATGATCTTTACTTAATATTCTAATGATTTTTTGGTATAAAAGAAAAATCTATAATTTTGACCCATACAATGTATTTTTGGCTATTGCTACAAATATACCCCAGCGACTTAAGACTGGTTTTGTGGTCCAGGGTCACATATATCAAATGTCATTGAATAGCTGATATAAATATTGAGATAGATGTGTGGTTTTTAGTTATATTGCTCATCCTGGGTTTTTTGGCGCTCAGCCTGTTAATCAGTCCATTTTACCTTTTAAGAGAGATGTGGATGATAACTGGATTCAATCCCTTGGGTCCACTCTGCCGCCTTATTCCAAATATGGACTGTCTTGTTTAACTTGTGCCGTACAGATAAATCTGTATGTTGTCCCTGGAGTATATATGTAATGTCAACAAAAATGCATGGCAGGGATCATGTTTTTTACGCATTTTGTAATGACTTCTGCTTAGACAAACTGTATCAAATAAGATGGGATTGTAAATATGTCCCGAAATAGAAGAGTCACCCTCACCACCACATCTGCTGCTTTTGGCCATTTGAGAAAAGAGCCAGTGAGGTGCACAAGATGGAAACATTGTGTTTGCAGGCCTGAGGGAGACTGTGTAACAGGGGTAGCATCCTACAAATGCCTTCTTTATTGCATCGCTCCAGTACTCTGCACAGGCTCAGGAGCGGGAGCAGGTCAGGATGGGGAGAGGCATCTACTCACTCCCCAGCATACAAACATATGTCAG